CCCCAAAACCCCAAAACCCCAAAACCCCAAAACCCCTCACCTGGCAATAATATTGAATTTTAATAATATTAGTAATGTCAGACAACTCTTTAGATAATTTTGTTGAAGTTAAGGACGACGACCTTGATAAGAGGATCAGAGCTCGAGCCGCTGCTCTCAGGAAGGAATCTGAGTCAAAATTCAGAGAGAGCAACAACAGCTCAATTGGTAAGCCCCTTCTTTCTCAGTCTCATTTTTTGTAGGTAGTCTAAACGATGAAGACGATTTGCAGAAGCTGTAAGTGTCTTCTCTAACCTTTTACTGTTAAATTCTCTCAATTTGTTTCCAAAATTCAGTCTGATCCATCACTTAGAGTAAAACAGCATGTAAACATCGGGTTTGCTGAGAGACAAGATATCAGTCAGATAAACATGCAGAGAGAAGACGACGATGACCCAGAAGAATTCCAGGAAATTCTCACTGAATTTCCTGAAGAGTTTGAAGAGGATAGCTTAAACATCATCAAGGATGAGGATGATCACAAGATCGAGGAGCTCAAGAACGAGCATGAACGCACACTTGACTCGTACAACAGGGGGATGAAGAAGGCTAATCAATTGAGTATTACTGGGTATAGTAATTATTCTGATCTTAACAATTCGAAGAATACAGAGCAAGAGCATAAGAATAACACTGTGCTATTCGGCAATAATTTTGTTAATATCTCCAAAGGCGGCTCTGAAGGGAATTCTCTAGTTAAGAATAAGTCCAAAGATGAAGGACTCGAGCAGAAGTCGCCCAATGTGTCCTTGAGGGGAGATAGTAAGGAGGGAGGCGAGTTTTCGATGAAAAGACAGATTGAAGATTTTATTATTGGATTTGAGAGGACTACAAGCGCTTGTAAACAGGCTGAGGTGAACCACAGAGATGACCAAATCATTCTTGATAAAATTCCAGAGGAAAATTCCGAACAAAATGAGGCAGGTAAGACTTCTAGTCAACGGGACTCGGTCAAGAACGAAGAATACGAAGAAAATTCTCTATTCTCTTCAGTAATGTCCATGAATGGGGAGATCCGTATAGAGGATGACGCTACTAATAACAGAGTCTCAATGGTGAACAAGGAATGGGATAACATAGTCAGGGAGGTTTCGAGTAATAACCCTCAGAACCAGCCTCTTGGCCTGACCGCACAGAGATCGACCCCTTTGGCCAATGGTAACCATCAGAAGACAACACATCTGAGGGATAATGACTCTAGAAAGTATATGAGAAACCATCCGTTGGAGGTTGGCCATACTGACCCCAGATACAAGGATATTCACTCTAAGACTATCCTCCAGTCTTCAGATTTCTCAGAAATTGAGTCTGAGAAGGAAAGAGAGGAGGCTAAAAATATTGTCAAGATTGAAATCATCATTATCATGCTCAGGAATAGGAACTTACATAAGAACATGATCAGTGATTTCGAGCAGAACAGATGCAGGATTTACCTACTAAATATCCTGAAAAAGGATCCTGACTGTGAAGAGGCTCATTATGGTATCTCACAGATATACTTCTCCCTAGGAATTCATAATAAAGCTCTGGAGCATATAAAGAAAGCGTTGACAAGTAACCCTCGGGAGCCTCAGTATCTATGCCTCAAGGCATTGTATCTTTACACGATTATGCAATGAAATGAGAAGGTAAGCATATCACCCAATTTTATAGGAGGATTCTTACGAAGAATACTTTAAAGAATGAGAGAATACATGTCTGAAGACATTGAAATACGACCAGAATAATCTCACGGCTCTGTATATCCTTCTTGTGCTCAGCTGTGAAGCACGAGATCGAGCTAACAAGGCTAAAGATATCTGTGTTTCCCCTGAGAAACCTGCAGAAGAGTATGCCGTCAGGATTAAGGAAATCAGTGATTATTTGGGATACATCGCTTGGTCGGAGATCTATATATGAGCTGGGAAAGTAACTGACGCAGAGGAGGTCCTGGAAGATTTATGCTACACTTTCCCAACATTTCCACATGCCTTCTTAAAGCTGTGGGATCACAGATTTGGAAAAGAGGATTATATCAAGAGCATAGAGCCTATAGAGGATATTTTTCTGAGAATTGCAGATTTTCATACAATTCCTGAGATAAGAATCGCAATAGTTCCTCTTATGTATGCCAAAACTTTGATGAAGCTAAACCAATATGTATATGCCTTCGAACTACTACAGAATGAGTTCTGCAAAAGACCAGTTTACACTGTATTTCTGTACTTCCTTGGGAAATTTGCATTATCGAGCGGGGAGAAGCGGTTTAAAGGGACTGCAATTGGAATTCTTCAGGAGTGAATGAGATCATGTGTTAGCCAAAGAAAAGCTAAAATTCTATACTACCTAGGGAACGCTTACAAGGATAGAAACCAGCCTATGAAAGCTTTTGATTACTATGAGCAAAGTATCGAATATTTTAGGAACAAGAACTATACTTATGGTTCTTGAAACCCTGAAATCATGAAAGAGATGAAGTCATTCATGAAGGATTTCTACGAGCTCAGCCAATTGAGACATTTGATCGAAAACTCTGCTTTCAAGATCAAAAGACAAAGGAAGACAAAGAAGAATTATAAGGTTCCTCAAGACGAAGTGGAAAAGCTAAGGTCTGCTTCTAAGAAGATAGCGAGAGATGACAAGTGCGAGGGATGGATGCTCAGAGGAAAAATTATTACAGAGATAGAGGATAACCAAAACGAAGCTGTAAAGTACTTCATGGCCATGATCGAGAAAGTTCCCTACAACATTCAAGGGTACATTCAGTTTTTCAAGTTTTTAAAACAAAGGAATTTGAAAGGCAAGCTAGATTATGTAACTTCAAAGATGATGAAGAATATCGAGAACCCAAGTGTACCTACTGATGACTGGGTCGAAGCACATATGGTTAGAGCTGAATCCTTGGTGATTTTGAAGAAATACTCTAAAGCTATTTCAGTGCTCGAGAAATTGGTATATATCATCCCACCTCTGCCTATACCAGGGTTAAAGTATTTAGCTAAGCTAGAGAAGAAGCAGTCATCGAAAGGATCTCCTAAGAATGAAGAGGGGGATATCAAAATCAGCTATGGCAATATTGAAGCTACTGGGAAAGAAGAGACAAAGATGGCTACCACCATGAATCTCCCTTCCAAGCAGTCTAACATACAGGAAGAAGAGGAAAAGGGTGAAATTACTATCAATGTCGTTCCTTGCGAGGAGCCACAGAGGGACATGAAAAATAATGAGCTTAATTTCACTGAAAGGAGCAAGAATGCAGGCTATCGGAATGCTAGACCATTTTCATCAAGTCTGTTCTTCTCGGCTAATAGAGGAAATGCTGGGGTAAGTTTGATTCTTTATCCATAGAGTCGTTTCGAAGGATCCATCTTTGGAACAGAAGTTCATAGAGAATCAATGATGAGTCGAAAGTCAGATATATATCACTTCGACATCGAAAATTTCAGTGTATCTACTGAGCTCAAGTTTTTGTATGAAATAGGAAAAATTTGAGCAGATTCAGGCATTCAGCCAGAGAATGGAATAGAAGCTTTGCTAGATTTTATCAAAATTTTGAATTATTACAAGGATGACATGGAACAGATGATTTTTAAGAAAATGTTTTGAGACTCAAATTTGAAACTTGCTAAGAACTATATTTACACAGATCAAAGAGGTAAAGCTAAAGAAATAGCAGAATCAATTTATGATGAAGCTGTCAAGCTAGATAGCCGGAAAGACAGGTAAGCTGATGTTCAACCTATAGAAATATTGGAGGAAATAACGAAGGATACTCCTCAAAAGAGCATAAATCTTCACAGTAAGTAACTATCAAAGATCTTTTAGGAAGCCCTCTTCACAAGGAAGTTACAGAGCCGAACTTGACTACATCCTAGATTTGTAATAATAGATGATTTTATGGTATTTCAATATTTTCCTTTTATTTTGGGGTTTTGGGGTTTTGGGGTTTTGGGGTTTTGGGG